TAAAAGTAGTATTTACTCATAATAGGTACATTCAACGATGATGTATAGTTTTTCGATACCAAATAGCTCACTAAATGTCACTATAAATATTACCATGTAAAAACATATGTAGGCCTTTTCATGCAGTAATTAAAAAAAAGGTCAATCATAAATTACCAACTGTTAAGTGAACAAGTATTTTTAAAGCAATAAATAATTCATTAATATTATTTAAACATTATTCTTTTATTTTCACTGCCAGTAAAATAAATATAAATTTTATTATTTGTATTTTATACATATTTTTATTCATTGGAATTTAGTGTTCTATATCAATTATCAAGAAATCATTTAACATCCGTTTATTTTTTTTAGTTTACCATACATTTGCAACATACAAAATTGCTCTCCGTAGATTATTGCAAACAAATTGTTTATAAGTTAAAAATAAGTTGTTATGAATAGGATACTATTTATTTGTGTTGATGAGAAGGTTAAAATTGATTTTTTTAAAAATTGATTTAAGTTATAAACTTAAAGTTATATAACCTTCAGTTTACTAATAAGAATTAAATATTTTACCCTACCATTATACAATGTTTACCATTTAAAATTTGATACTAGGTACAAAGTAAATGTTGATTACTTATTATTAGGGATTCGTGAAAAATAACATTGTTTGCATTAAATATATAGTATAGGTACTAATATACTACTATTATATTCTATATTACTACTACTTCAACTAATAATAATAAAAAATAATTTTCTCAAGTCTTACACCTTTTTTGTATTTTGAAGATAAAGTTCTGATTTATGACTTTAGTTTCGATGAAATAAATCAGTTTTGTGTTTCCTTCGTATTTATTTAAAATGTTAGGTATATTCAAAGTATATTTTTAGTCTCAACAGTAAACGAAGGTATTAAAAAATATCATTATTTAAATAATAATAGTTTAAACCACGTGTTCAAAAATTTAACATATGAATAGTATCTATATAATATTAAGACTGTGTTGTTCGTTGTTTTGAAGGTTGTATAAGTAATTTGTACAAAATTACAACTTTTTTTGTTCAGATATTATTTTTAAGTAAATATCAGGAGAATCGCATAATGTATTCTGTGAATTGTTGAACAAAGAAACGCTATTATTATGGAAACATCGATTGAAACATTTTTTCATTTTTTTCATATTTTTCATATTTTAACTATTATCTGACAGTCCACAGTAAAGTATCTTGTGTGTTATGTGTATGCTACCAAAATATTTAGCATAATAATGTCGACTGGGAACAATAATTATTGTTGGGCATTGTAATTTCAGAAAAGGAATGTATAAATGAGAATACTTACCATAATAATATCATATATACCTACCTATATAATGAAAAATACATTTTAAAATCAAATGTTCTAGTATTGATAAACATGATATGAATTAGTTTATCAGGTTAAATAATATATTTTTTTATGAAATAAGCACGATTATGACGTATTATTAAAGTACAACAATATAATTAGTAATACGCTTACGTATGGTCCAATGTTCATAGTAAATTATAGGCACTACATATTATATAGTCTTCAAACATTAAATTATTTTATTCGATAATTGGTTAATTTAAGGAAAATTAAACTGTGAATTGATCACACTAAAAATCTGGGAAATTCTTTCATCCAATAGAAGTTCAAATGTAACTTTTCATTGAGTAGATACCACCTATTTTTTTACAATGTAATAGTTGTGCTTAACACAGTTATTACAAGGAGAAACATCGTCGGCCCATGGGTATTTTATAATTTCAACAATACAATAGAATAACTAATTTTATTTATTGAACTCATTTTTTTACATACTATATTGTATTAACCTATAACAATTCAGGTTTTTAATCTTGTCTAGAAAATAATAATACGAGTAATGGTGAAAAGTTTCAAGTCCCTTGTGCTTAAGTGTTTCCTAGATTTTTAATAATAATATAGCTGTGAGCACAACTATAATGAAGAAAACCCTGTACCTATCACATATCAATATTTAAGTTATAAAAATTGAAAATCTTATTTATTTTTAACTTCTAAATAATATGTAAATTATATACTAATTTTGACAAATTCTGTCAAAATTACAACTATAACGCTCACAAAAAAAAAAAACAAATAAATTGTGCTAGGGGTTTTTTTTATATCTCAAAAATGTTATTATATCATATTATACAGCGAATACATATTAGAATTTTGCAACTATAAAAAAAATGAAAGAAAAAAAAACTTAAAACTCGAAAATTTTAAATTACCATAACTAGTTCAAATTAGTTGGTCTATATACAAACAAAATACCATACAGAAAACTATAATTTAAGAATTAATGGATTCTTTCAAATTCCTATTCATTAATTAGATTGGTACTACAAAATATTGAATATCGTTTGAGAAATAATCGTGAAGTCAAGGTAAATGCTAATAATTTACTATACTTATTACTGAGAATTTTTTCTGTTAACTTCTTAAGGCTTAAAGTGCCAACTATAATCTACATCCAATTTGCAGCCTCAAACCTAGAAACTACCCTCAAATTTGAAGATTTAAGCATTCTTTCTGCTGTAAAACAGATACACAAAATAAGCACAGACGTTATTGATTGTGTAACCAATAAGTAAATTCATCAATTCAATATATAGGTACTTACCATAATAGTATCTGTTGTCTGAAATTTGAATTATATTGATAGGTATCTATGTGTTACCTCTCAAAATAAAATATAATTACTGTGTGATTAAACTCAAAATACTAGGAGATATCATAAATTAGCTGAATCGTTAAAAAACGAAGGCGTTCTATTATAAATTTAATAAATAACATTCATTAACTTTAAATAATACATAATTGGTTATTCAGTCCAACAATTGTAAACAAATGTTTAATAGACATAATATAACATGTTGAAAAGTAATATTAGGATAATATTATATTTGTGATTTACACATATTACTAGCCTCTAGTAACCAATTCGTTTATTATTTTATATTTTAATGTATAACATACATTTCAATTGTTTTTTTTAAAATAATTTTTATAACATTTCAACAAAATATGATAGTTTAATAATGTTATGTTAGTTAATTAAAATCGTAATTTTAATAGTAATAAATTGAAATACAACAGGATCAATAATTAAAATAATAATAATAATGTGGTATTATATTATATTAGAACAATTAATAGGGTTTTCAGTATCAGTAGGTGTGTGTACCTACTATTTATTTGAATATTGAACTTAATAATAACAATGATAATATGTATAATATAAACTTATAACACAATTTAATTGCTCCAAACTGAAGTAGCAGTTTAAAAATGATAACTTCCGACTAGAAACTAAAACAGTTTAGAGCAGTGTAACAATTTACCACTAGAGGGTATCCGATATAATAAACACAATATTTGAAAAAATGATTAGTATAGGTAATTAAATGTCAAGAATTTTTACAATTATTGAGTCTATATTACAGCGTAGGTGGCCAAAACGGCTTAAGTTGATGATTTATTTCTTTACACATATTACAATATAATTTAATTAAATTATATTTTACAATCTGAAAAAAACATTTTAAAATAATATTAAATCGGCATGACCGGAAGTAACTCATAAATAAAAACTATAATTTATACAGTGAATAAGTAATTTTAAACTATATGCTGAGCAGCTGAGCAAATAACAACTTATCTTACTGTTGAACATTGTTTTTAACTATATCCGTTTTGACTAACCCCACATTTGTAAATTTTTCTTAAACATTCCATTGCACAATTATTTTTTTATGAAAAAAATGACAAGCTATAGTAGCAAATTTAATTAATTATATTTACATATGTCAATAATATACGATTTTCCATTAAATATGGATATATATATATATAGTTTAACAGTAAAACGCACTCGGCGAGTATTTAAAGCCTATGTAACTATAATTTAAACAATTTAATAACGAAATAGTAGTCGAACTGGCCGACTCAAATTTCCAGCAATAGCAGCAGCAGCAACAGCAGTAGCAGTAGCAAAAGCTCTGAACACCAAAATAAAAATTATAAGATCATTTTATCTCGTTTTGTCACCTGTGAATTACTGCAATGGCCTAACTTTATTATTACAATTCTAATGTTTGGTGGCATAATTGTTTAATTTGATTAAATTTAATGATTCACTAAAATTGAATTAGCCAATCATCGACCACTAAATTATGTTTTTAAGGGAGCATTAGCTCACTACTCGTTCATAAAATTATAAATGATTGTTTAAGCAACCTGGCTTCAGAAATTTATGAAGCCCATTTAAAGAGTAGGTATTCAGATTAAAAATATATAACATTTATACGAAAGTTGTTTTAAAGGGGTTTAGCGAAAGTAAAATGCACAAAGCCTAAGTTTTTGATACATAATTTCGTTGCGGTTTTCAAAAGGGACGAAGTTTTCTACCGATATTATCGAATGTATGTGTTATATATGCTGTGACAATGGATACATTATAACATTGCAAAACAATGGTGTAAATAATAATTTCTTGTCATTTCTTCCCGTAAAATAATAATAATAATAATAATGATGATGGTCTTGAAAGGATTAAAACAGGGACATAACACTCGAGCGAAGCGATCTAGGGTCGGCGATCGTGTGTGATACGTGTGTGTGTAATGTGTGTGTATTATCGACTGAAATATCGGTCTACGAATTTTACGACACCCTACAAAAGAATTATACTCGGACCAGGTCACAATGAATCGCGTAAATCTCGGCCGCCATCTGTGGACATTGTGAGCCTCGCAAAGACCGATGACCGTTAATCGCCCTCACCGCCAACCGTTTAAGCACACACACACACACACACACACACACACACATACACACATACCCACACATACAACCAAGCATTCACGCAAGCACACTAGCACACATACACAAAACTTTTACCTACACATGCAGAACACTACTAAACGAGCAATACTCATGAATTACAACAATATAATAATAAGGCGTCGGGTATTCAATATATTATATACGCATCGGCGTATATAGTGTATGTAATAATAGTAATAATAATGGATATTAATATGTATAATAATGTTGTGTGCATTTTATTATCTCCTATACGTAGTGCCACAAATCATTTTCGTGAAAGCCAACCGGAACTCGGGACTGAAAACGGTGTAGATGATCGGGTTCAGGGTGGAGTTAAAGTAACCCAGCCACAGGAAGAAGCTGGACACGTACTCGTTGATCACACACCCCTGGCACAGGGGCATGACCAGGGCCATGATGAAGAATGGTAGCCAGCACACGACGAACGCCCCAGTGATGATGGCCAATGTCTTGGCCGCTTTCCGTTCGCGTTTCGCCTCCAGCGACTCCTTCTTCTCGCGCTTCGTCTTCACCCTAGCGGGCGCCGGAACGCACACCCGATTCACGTTCATCTCTATGACCGTGTGCCGGCCGGCCGACGGGTCCGTGATGGTGGGCCCGTCGTCTTCGATCACCGGGGGTTGCAGCTGATTTTGGTGCTGGTGCTGGTGATGTTGATGGTGGTGATGATGGTGATGATGTGCCGTCGACGTGGCACCGTGATCGTGGTTCGTAGTGATCGTGAACGCGGTGGTTTTGTCTTCGCCACCGCTTCCGCCCACGCTTCCTCCACCGCTTCCTCCGCCACTTCCGCTGCCGTTGCCTGCCTTGGAATGTCCGCCACCGCCACCCCCGCCGCCGTCCTGCGACGACTCGGGCATCGAACAGCTCGAATGGCCGTCAATCAGACCTATGCTCGAGCACACGGCCGTCTCTTCCACTTCCTTCTTCTTTTTGATCCGCAGGAAAACGGCCGTCCGGAAGAAACCACACTTTTTGGGCTCGGCCGCGGCCGCGTCATCAGCCGGCTTTTTCAACCTGAAACACACACAAGCAAATCGGTGGAATCAAGAGTGTTTATAGAGGAGAAATGCCACTCAAACGGTAGAAGAATGGGAATCTGAGCTAGGATAATATATAACTTGATGAGAGTGCTTAATAATCTCACAACTGTGCTGGCGGTCGCGCGCGTGACGTTCCATCGTTATTACCGATCCTATTTCAATGGCTATAATATACGGTGTAATCCTCGACCGTCCAAGTGCTTCTGATAACACCACCCACGTTGAACTCGAAAGGGCCGAGTAGGGTTATTGTAATAGTACACATTTAAAATACCTACGATCCATTCGTTAAACCCAACTGATAATCGTTTTACGTTGGTAATTATTAAAAACCACTGAGGTTTACGACAAGATTATTCCATGCAAATAGAATGCGAGAACAAATAAAATATACAACCTTTTGTAATATCATAAGAATAGTGGTGAGGCGTTGAAAAAAAATCAAGCATAAGACAATATTGTTGATACTCATATTAGTCATATCATAATATTTTAGATAATATCACACGTAAAAAAAATTAAAAACCAACTACGATAACGAATTTTTTCGGCGGTTGATGGACTATGCGATTATTGAAAAATAAAATTAAACAGAAATATGAACGCCGAGACCCCGATTCCGTTGTTAGAAAAAACGAGTCGTCTTATTTTTTATTTTTCATGGTGAAATTTTACTGTACTTAGATGTTTACTGGAATGACCCGAATTGGGCACCGGCGTACCGCCAGCCCATGTGCGGGGCCCGTAACTAGACTATTATATAATGAATACGATAGTGGTATTATAATAAAAATAAAAGATTTTCACAAACTTAATATTGAAATATACATATAATATATTATTTTGATCTTATGACATTCAAATTTGTAAAAGAAATATTTTATTAAATTTATTATTAAAATTATTTTTCCCTATTCTAAGTGGGTAGACGTTGTTTTATTGTCACTATGATTCTCGCCACTGAAATGAGATTACTTTCTTGGTCCATCGGTACCTATTCAACTGCTACTCGTCGAGATGAAACCACTGACATTTACAATAAACACTAACGGATCGTAGAGTTTAAGTTTTTTCTACTGTTGTCATACTAAAACACTTATATTGAACTATCTAGAAATATAATCGATTCATGGGAACAATAAGCATTATTTAAGTTATGATTTATGACTAATTATAATTGTCTTCTACCACAAAAATAAGCGAAATGTCTTCATGTTTAAACATAAAAATATGTGCATATTTTGAAAGTTATTGCATTCTTTTTTGAAGAGCAAATACTACTTTGTTAATTTAAACTCATCGCGGAACGGCCAAGCGCACATTTCAGTAATCAGCATTTTCCGAAACATAATGGATGTAGGTACCCATAATCCATATTATTTCATAATATAATATAAAATGGATCCAACAATTTGAAAGTCACATTCTAATCATCACCCAATTCAGTGTTCATTAGTTATTTATATAATTAATTATTATCTTTTCAGATAATTTAAATTTAAAACTAAATAAATAAGTAGATACCAATGTATAGTACGGTATATATAAAGTATACGTAATGATCGAATAGATACTGGAGATAATATTATTACTATTATTTGTATTGATTTTAATCATCGGCAACTATGGGCATTAGAATTTGTGTGTGGTGGGTGGGGGGGGTTACGGTTGGTTGAGGAACATGTGAATGTGGCCAGGTGGGGCGAAGATTCATAACTAAAAAACCCGGTTGGTCACCCATCCTCGAACTAGCTATGTCGGCTATATATGCTTGACCTCAGAGCACGTCAGTGGCTGAAGCCAACCACCACCAAGCCCCGATGATATTACTGTATCTACAGTGTTGTAGTCATTATAATATAATAAGTTTTTTTTAAAATTTAATTTGTTATCTAATTGATTGAAAGTGTTCATTGTTTTTTTTTTATGTTAATAAATAAAATACACTATTTAATTAGGGTAGGTATTCAATTTAAAATCTTAGAATAACATAGTTATGATAGGGGACTTCATTTATAGTAGAAAATAACCATAAAATAGTATATCAATTTGTTTTTATAAAAGTAGCAAATAAAAGTTTCATAAGTACCATCGTCATCCTGCAATGGTGTAATTTGAATACATAATAAATATTTTATTTTTTCCTATTGTGTCTAAAATTATAATTGGCGTGGGGTGGGGTTGACGCATTTACACACCTCAAATACCTTACTAATAATGAATCTTTACATGAAAACTCCTTGACATTTTGTAGAATTGTAAAGTAAGTGAAAATATATTAAGTTGGTAATATATCTATGTCATAATATGTATAACTTTAAGCTAACCTATACATTATAAGTTTTTTAATGGATAATTAATTGCATAAAATACACACAGAGATAAAATATTCAAGCCGATGGATAATGCTTAAAAAAAAAAAATGTTAAAAATTGTAATAAATTAAAGCTTAAAACAGGAGGTCAAGTCAAAACAATATATTTGCACAACTATAAAATTCAGTGGCAACTCCCACCGTGCATTGATTACGCCTATGTTGCATCATGGTTCAAAATTGATAATGACAGTTTTATTTATTTTGAAAGCTTGTAGAGTTATTTATGCAATCATCATTACTAAATAAAAATTAAATTAATTTAATGGGTTTAGTGTGGTGTTTTGGTGCTTTTGAGACTATTATTTTTTTATCCTGTGATTATGTATGTTATATTTTAATTTTAAAGAATAAAAGTTTTTATTTATTTAATTCGTTTCATTTGAATAAAACTTCACATCTACATTATTATTTTTATCAATGCGATTTAAGTATTATAAAATTATATGTTAGAACATCTATATAACATAATATTCGCAATATTTAAAGAAAAGTGATGAATAGTTTCGTTATCAATTAGTAGGTAAAAGGTAACATAAAATTATAATTTATAATAGTTTATAGTTTTAATTAGCATATTTTTATTTTTTATTTTGAAAATGCTGTTTAAAGTAATTCATAACCAAGTGTTGGATACTTTTAATTTTTTTTAAATTCCTTAACTCGGAATTGTGTTGGGTTAATGAATAAAAATAAACTATTCGACGCACTTATTCATATTTTACCTTGAATTCGGATGTTTGATCTATTTACACATTATTTTGTATTTTGTGAAATTTGTAATTTGAATAGATTTATTTAATTTTTATGTGTTGAAACGGAAATGTTAAAAATGTATTATAATTTATAACAATCAATACATATGTGTACTATTATTTTCTCGTACCTATATTTAATTAAATAAATTTTATAATAATCAGGCTAACCTTGAATGTTCTAGCATTGCGTTCCTCTGAGCTCTTCTTCTGCGAATCCTTCTTCTGGCTATCTTAAATATCTTCCAATAAAGAAACAAGATGACCAGTAGGGGCAAGTAAAACGTTGAACATGTAGCAAATATCTGGTAGCCAATGTCTTGACTGACCATACATCGCTGTTGAATATTAATACGGTCCAGGTAATCGGGGTCTTTCCAGCCAAACTGTGGAGCCAATGACACGACTAGTGCTACAAACCATACCACAATAATCATGCCCACTATTCTTCGACCGTTTCTCGTGTGGATATAATCAACATTAGTAACAGCCCAATATCTGAAAAGCAAATATCATTAATTTTCATAATTGATGTATTATTATTTGCATACACTTTGTATTGATTAATTAATTATTAAATATTCATATACAAATATTAAACCATATAGATATTAATAAAATAAAAAAAATAAATATCTGAATATAAATAAATCAGTAATAATTCTCTCTCTCTCTTACACACGCACACACACACACACACACACACGCACGCACGCACGCACGCACGCACGCACGCACGCACGCACGCACAGTCTTTCTGCATACATATCCATATGAATGGCTCAAAATTATATTAATCATTCTTACTATAATATCATGTTAAAAACATAGGACTTATCATCTATAAATCGAATTAATTGAGTTGTATGGGCTAAGCATTAAGACTATATTTTAAAATGAAAAATGTGTTAAAACTTATGTCAGTAGCATATTGTTTTATGGTAATTAAATCTGAATGATATAAATACCAATAATAGAACAAAACTACAAAAAAGATTAGAATCGTTTGCAATCTGGTATTACAGATGAATGTTAAATATAAGCTGCATCAAATAAATAATAAAAGAAGATGTTCTAAAAAAAATATCGGAAAGTAAAACTTTTTAGAAAATGTTGATAAGGGGCGAAATTTATTAATGGATTGGTTATACAATTATGCATGCAAGATTGTTAAAGTTATTGATAATAGAAGGTAGCATTGATGGAAAGGACCACGTAACAATACTCAGACTGGAGTACAAAATAAAGAATACTATGAAGGATCAAAGGTTTGAGTCGTATTTACAACTGAAAATGAAATAGGACGACTGAACGAATGGAGAAAAGCTGTGAATCATCCACGGATTGATAACAAAGAAGAAAAAGAAGAATATTTTTATTTAACCAAAAAAAAGGGGAAAGTATAGGTATTTGTTTTGCTGTACAGTTCGTGTCGAGTGTATCTCTTGATTGAGTAAGTCGTTGTAATGGATGTGTTAAATATCAATGATACATTATTGCATACGAAAAACGAATGTGAGGTCTGTCATCCTATATTACTAAGTATAATCCTTTCATGATGTATTAATAAAGCAACTATCTAGTAATTTAATTTACAATATTAGTAATTCGGTAGGTTGAATTCATTTTTTTCGATAATATTGCATTTGAAAATGCCATTTTGTACCTAAGTTATACAACATAATAATATACGTTACAAGTTTCATGTTCCTATAAATAATATTTTTAAATTACAACAAAAAAACTAAAATCATTATTCTTGTCTTAAATACAGAATTTAAAAAGTTTATAGTAAAAAAATAAGGTCTAGAGTTACATGTTTTGATTTTTAAAATTTAAAATATTCAAGCTTTTTGATTCTTATCAATATAAATATAAAAAAGAAATAATAAAAATCATCTGATGTCTATATGTAGCTCAAAAAGCTTCAAAATATTTTGAAAATTTAATGGCGTGCTTCTATAAAATATTAATTAAAACATTTTTTTTTTAATTTCGTTATAATACTGTTATTCCTTTTTTAAGCTACCTATATTAAAATAACAAAATACATTTTGTCAAAAACTAGTTTTGGCAGAATTTTCTATTTTTCCTTAATTGTTTTTTGTTTTCCTCGATTATTTTGAATAATACTGGATAATTTTCATTTTGACTTCTTAAAAGTAACAACGGAATCTAATTTTTCCCTTATATTGAAAATCAAGGTATTTTTCCAACTATGAATCGTATACACATACAAACACCAAAAAAACCACACATACCATTGTTAAATCAATATATTTATTGCTACATTCAGAATCTGAAATTATATTAATTTACTGACAATACAAATGTTTAGTGTAAATAAACTTGCATTTTTGGAATGGAACAATTAAAATTATAATTTATAGACATTTTTTATTTGATGAGTGGTATGATTTTTAAATTAAAATTATTATGATGATGCATAACATTAGATATTATAATGAAACAACTAAATTACTGCAGGGCTTACGAAGATGTCAAACAGTATAAATTGTATTTTTTTTTTTTTATCATACTCATAAGTGTATAAAAAAGGGTGTTAAATTGTTTAATACGTTTTTACTCGTGTTATACCAAACTTCTTTAAATGTATCAAATGATACATCCTTTTTTTTTGCAACGGTATAATATTAAATGTAATTAAAGCGTCATGGAAATAGAAATGGGTCCAAGGACAGTTTAAGTAAATGTACCTGCATAATTACAAGTAATGCAAAGTATTACAATTTAATATTGAGATTTCCACTGAGTAAGCTAGGCCTGGGGTAGAAATTAAGGGTAGGTATGTATTTTTAGATGACCCTTTCATACATGTTTTTTTATTTGTACAGCTTCCCCTCCTACATATAATCCTCTTTTCAAACGATGTCCAATAATTACCAGTAAAACTAAAATTATTCAACAGAAATATATTCAGTGAACAATCAAAATCCTGCAAACATATTCTTTCTACCACATCCCTCCTCATCGACTATCTTGCCACTTACGCTTCTGTCCTAATCGCCTTTGTAATCAACATGGACTTTCCTCATATTTTTTTTTCTTTCAGCAGACCTAAATCATTTTGACATGGTTTTCCCCTATTGCATATTATCATCAAATGTTATCGATTTTATTATTATTATTTTAGATTTCGAGTAAGGAGTAGAAACTTTAAGTTTACAGTGTTTTTTTTCTACAAATTTGTTGAGCACTTAAATTTTTATTCATTTTAATTCATATTGATCAATTATTAATTCCATAATTTTTTTTATATTCCTCATATTGTTTTTAGACAGATTATTATAATTTTTAAGCATTATTGCAACCTATTATTTCGTTTTTTTTCTTACAAATTTTAGATTAAATTATATACATTATTAGAATATTCTGTTAAACAGATAAATAACGTTAGGCAGACATATTAATACATTATTATTGGACATGGATATGTGTTTCATTTTGAATACAAACTTTTTATACCATATAGGAAATATATTTTTATAATTATTGTATATTAAATACTACTACTCATAAATTAATATTTTTACGATAGAATTGTTTTTTTTTTTAAGAAATTGATAAGGCTTATACTGCATATAAATAAATGCAATCAACTAATTATGAATTTATAAAAAAAATAACCCTTATATTACTTCATAATTAGATTTTAATTAATTACTAAATATCAACAAAATCCTAAAGAAGGGAGTAAACCTCTAGTGATTAAAACAAAGATTTCTGGCAGATCCAAGCGAGGATAAAAATGTGAGTGAATTCTTCTTAAACTTAATATAAATTTACATAAAATCAATAACCTGACATTTTATTACACTGAGACGGTTTAGAAATGTTTATAAAATGCAATACACATTGCATTAAAATTAACAATAATAATTCAAAATATTATTTGTTAGCCAAATATTTTTATTTCTATTTTTTCTCAATTCAAACTGTTACAGAGATAAAAAAATATTCCTTGCAAAACTATATAAAAGCTTATGCAGCTTTTATGCATGATAAAAAAAACTATTCATTGATTAATATACTGATTAATAAAAACATAATATACTGAGTACATTTATTTACAAGCACAGTTAAAAAATAAAACATATAATTGTATTCCAATCAGGATTACTCAATTAAGTACCTACAATTTTTTGCTTGTAAAATCTGCGTCTGTATGTTAATAATAATAATAATATTAACGCTTGACATAATTTTAGTTAGTTCAAAACTGTATGTTTTTAATGCAGTGGTCAATTGCATTTTTTGTCTCAAATGTATAATATGATCACTAATAATTGTAATGAATTGATGTTTGCAACCATTTATCATTGGTTAATATATTTATAATTTATCCAGATGTTTTAAAATATTTCATTGCAATAGCGGTATTGTTTATTGATGAAAATAAAGTTTTTGTATAAAAATAAAATAATTTTTAAATAATTTCGATATTAATGAAAAAAATACTTACAAATGAACTACGAACATACTGTAAGTATGATTTATATTAGTTTATGATGTATCTGATAGTTTATAAACATTAAACGTAAATGTATAATTTTATATAAAGACAGAAGAAATATTATTTTCATTATTTATGTTCATTTTACAGTGTACACAGTATTATTATGGTGGATTATAGATTTATGATTATAATAATTTATATATATTTTTTTTTTATTTGATTAAAGGCTTCAATTACATAGATATTAGCCTAGTGTATTTATATTTTATTTGTACTTAAAGTAGTTGGAATAGAAAGGATAGGCTAGAATTTTCCCTGTCTTAATTTTGAAATATTTATAATTCATAGACATGAACATTACAATTTTCAGAAAAAATATCATTTTTTTATTTTCATTATTTATTCTTAAAGAATATGTAATAGTTCCCACTAAATAATATGTAAAATAAAAAAATTATACATTTTTTGTATCCAGTTCTATGGAAATCATTTTAATCTAAAAATGATATTTTAGTGTTTTGTAAAGTCAAAAAACAAAAATAAAATGTCAACTACTCGTATTTATCATGGATAGATTTTTAATTTGAGAACCATGTAGCTTATTTTTGGTTTGAGAATGTAGTATCCACTTGCAAGTTGTTTAAATCTATTGTTATCGTTTATAATAAACAATGTTTAAAAGAGTAAAGAAGTGTAATAATATGTTACCTACATAAATGTTAGATGATTCTTATATATCCTATTTTAAACAATGAACTATTAGTTTTTTTTTTATTGAACTATGTTTTTCTACATAATTTGAATAGTTTTAAATAGTTGTATGATAACATATAGTTTTTTTTTTAAAAACAAAAAGTATCAAGAAAAATCAGCGTTTCAAGTTGAAATAAATAACATTTTATTCCTTTTATATTATAATAATGTATATAAGATGATAATATATAATATTTTGAACGTAAGAACTTAATGAACTAATCAAAAATTATTCTTTTATTGATTTGTATAGAACTTATATTAAATATTATTATTACAATTATTATTAATCAATATAATTCTTAGTTATGGAAATATTTCATTTGCTAGAGAAAATCAATTTTACTGTTGTGAATACCAAACGAATCACTTTGTACAAACATTTTAGTATGTTAGCTAAAATAGTAATATTATATTTAAATTAAATCTTTATCTAGTGAAATGGGACATGAACATATCTGATTTATGACCTTCTATGTACAGAAAATGACTGTATTAAACTACTCTGTCATGAATTTTAAGACAATGGGATGCTGCTAAACTTTCAAAAGCTTCTTTTAAGGAACTTCATGACTTTAAGTAATATAACATAAGTAAGATATTATAAAATGTGTGTGTAATATATCGCGTGTCGAATGATAAATCATGTATAAAGATGGGCATACATATTTGACTTAAAACTAAATATTAATGTTTGGAAATTGATTGTGTAGTTATAAATAAATCTCATTATTTTTTAATTGTCTAGTATTAAATAAACGGTACAAATTAATTTCAAAAAAAAATTAATAGGAATAATTTACAGTAAATATTTAATAACAATATATTTGGTGAAACTTTGGATCAAATAAATATTATATTATACAATGTATAAATATATTTTACTACAAATAATTTTATAGGTTGTAGTAAAATATTATACTATAAGGAGAAGTTCAAGTTTTATTGAAACCATTATTTCTTTATTATAATTGTTATATTCATATACTAGGTATTAAAAAGCAATTAGTATCCTTCAATATCATAATCTACTGAATTTATCAATGTGATATTTTAAATAAAGATTATTATACATTATTTATAAACTAATTATCGTTCAGTCTCTATAATTCCTACTTTTATAAAATACCAAAAACTAAATCAACTCCACGCATAGATTTTGAGTAAAGCAATTAATAAAGCTATTGGTTTATTTATGAGTTTTTTAATGGAATTATATTTTCAGACAATCATTTCATGTGAAGAATTGGAAATTTATCATCGATCGAGGGATTCTATTTAAACGGAAAATGTCCCAATATTTTTCGAGGAAACCGTGAAAAACTTTTATAAAATATTAAGTGGTTGCTTTCAGACAACATTTATACAAGAAATTATTTTTTTAAATAATATAAAAACATTTTGAATTAGTTGTAAGAAGTCAACCGTAACATATATTATTGTTTTATATAGAGCAGAATATTGCTTGTTTTTCTTTTCTTGCACAACTATCTGAAAAACTACAGTTATTTAAACCAATTTTATAATTGATTGAAATCCATTAACTTCATAGATATTTTAAGAAAAAAATATCCACCTTAAGTTAATAATTATCGTTGTAATTTAGAACATACTGAAAGGAGCAAGCAATGTATTAATCAGTTTTGTAAAGTACTTGAGTAAAAGTATTCAAATAGTTTTTAAGTAGTGAAATACGTGTTTTAAATACTTTGAACATAGTAATTCGATTTTTTTCAATAGACATTAAAGTTCGAATTTAGGCGAAATTAGGTAGGTATTTTAACGAATATAAATAATGATTTTAGTACATTTGTTGTATTCAAAAATATTTTTCACGGGGATTTGAAACTTTTATCTAGGTATGTCATTATAATTTATAAAAATAATGATAACATTTTTAAATGTAACGTTTTCACAAAAACTAATTCAACCTACCAATAGTAAAATAAATTACTTTGATAACAATATAAATATAGGATAAAATATACATGATTATAAAGGCTGATAGACCGTATTTTCTCAGATTCGTTTTCGAAAACTCAACATATACATGAGTGACTTTCCAATGACGAGGTACACTTGACACCTATTGCAGTAGGTACAACATAGTAGTTATAGCTATAAAATTTTTTTTTGTTTCTGTCATCATGTAGTAGTTGAGAAGGTTTATTCCTATTATCAACATTACTAGTAGTTTCTCGTAAGATATTTCATCCAGTCTGTACCTACTTGGGGGGGTGGAGAGTTAAAATTAGGAAGTTATAAGGAATCTTCTTAATATTTATGTAAAAACCTAGGAATATTTACTTACAACTAGTTTTTGATAAAATCAATTTTGTTTTTTGTTGTTATTAAAAAAATTAAATTTGGGGACTTTGAATTTTTTACCATAATTTATGTTGTTATTTTTAAACACAATGACATTTTAAAAATAGGTATTTAGACTGATTGGGAGAAGTTATTTGTTTTTTTAAACTTTTTTACGTCATTCAAAAGTACGCCTGTACAGGCCTTATTTCTTCAATAAAAATGTGCGCAATCTACTAAATTATTTTGATATTACCTAGGTACTAATATTTACATAAATAATTTATTTCAGAATCAGATCCCTACTCAATGATAGTGGATTAGGTAATTTGACCATTAAATGTGTTAAAGATACTAATTAATCTGACACTCGAATATCATTAAAGGTACGTGTGCATTAGCATTTATCAACGGCATTATGTACTACACAAAACAATAATATTATGTTCACTTAAGTGCATTCAAATTACTGCCACGAAAGTGCGTGATGTGTCACCATCCCACACTATCATTATGGTATTGATAACATATTATGTATTAACTGACATAAATTAGACTAACCCTACTCGTATGATAACTAAGCAATAAAATTATATGTTATTATTAATTCCATTATAATTGTAATCTAATTACCATAAATTAAAAAACGAATTACAACTTTGAAAAAACAATTTTATAAAAATAATACTGATTAAAAAAATGGTAAAACTTTTAAAAATAAGACTTTACACTACGATGATGTAGGTAGTTTCAAAACCTTCATCAATGCAGTAGAAGCGAGTCCCTTGGTTTATTATATATATTTATTATAATATTATAATCAAGTATTTTAGAACAAAAACCAGCCTAATAGGATAATCTTTCGTAAAATTTTCGGTTTTATAATATATAGTACAACAACAATGTTAAGAGAATAACAATTTATATATACAGTGGCTTGAAGACGCGAGGGCCTGTAATGCCGCTTAGGTGTGAGTTTATAGATCATTAAAGTTTTGCTTTTATTTTAATTTAATTTTTAAGATCTTTGGGCCATGGCAGTCACCTGCAGAGGGGATTTCCGGGGAATAGACAGTGGATTTCGAAAATGGGAATTAGCATGATTTTGAAGGTGATTTCTAAATTTAGAGCAGGAAAAAATAAGTATGTTTTTTTTTCTTTTAGTTGTTCTATATTGTGACTATAGGAATATGGAGATCTATGTGAAGGATACGATATGAGATGTATGGGGCAGCATTAGTTATGAGTCTGAGGGTTTTTGATTGGAATTTGTATATGCTTGTTTGTATGTTAGTTTTTTTTGGCAGTGCTCCAGAGTTGAATATCATACATCTTTATGGGTTTATGTAGAATATTGTATATGTATATAATGTGTATTTTGGATTTAAACGGAATTTTAGAAAATTTACCTAGGATGGGTCTGATTAGGCTAAGTCATATATTGAATGTTAATTTTGTTGAGTGAATGTGTTTGGCCCACATTGAACGTTTATCGAAGGTTAGGCTTGGGTATTTGGCTATGTCAGAGCTTGGTTTAGGTTCCTTGTTTAAGTATATCTTTCATATCTTAAACTTATAATACCATACAATGAAGAAGTATTTTATTTTAAGTAAATAAAAACAATTTATTGTAAACTGTTCTTATTATTAATATAAATATGTTTTGATACCTTATATATCTATTTTGTATCACATTTACTCATTGTGCTTAACGTATAGATTGTAAATTTCTTTTAAAAATATATGTATAAAAAAAAAAGTAAATAAAATACTACCCAACTTTCCACAGTTCATAACATATTTAATTATTTTTAATTACGGGTGTGATTTAATATTTAATCTGTATGGATATAAAATTAATACAAAATATAATTTCACATTTTACCAAAAAAAAAAAAAAACAACCAACCAACCAACAAACTTAAAATATTGTTTTTATCTTATTGTTCTTTAGTTAAAAACTTAATCGTCTTTGAAACACAATTTTATTTTCTCTTTAAGCCAAGCTAAAATATTATTATCATATTATCTGTTGATGATGGTCCTAAAATACGCTGAACATTTTATTTGAAACTGGAGTTGAAATACTATATAACAATTCACAATCAAGTTAAAATACCTATCACACTAACCCGTTCGTAATTAATAGCAATTGATAAATTAAAAATATATACTCAAAGGAAATACCCTCATTATTGCATAAATACTGTAGACATTTTCCTTGATAATATTAATAGTATTAATATTAAAAAAAAAAATGTTTTCAAAAAAAACTGCTACTAATATGTTAAAATAATTAAATTGTATATTAAATAATTATATATTTTAAGAAAGAGATAATTTTAAATAGTTGCCTATGCGTCATTGGTACTTGTGTAACTAAATAATTGTATATTATTATAATGTATTAAAAAAAAATATGTTCATTACCTATCAACAGCTATTGCAACGAGATGAAGTATCGAAGCTGTACAACATAGTACATCACTTGAAGTCCACATGTCACATAATTCTGGGCCTAAAATCCATCCTCTGCTTATCTGTAAGAACAAAAGTACTTATTATAATATAAATATGCCATTAAATAGACTAATGTAGTCAAAAAATGAATACTACATAATAGTATTTTACATCCACATGGGTTTAAGGTAAGTACTTATATTCAATAAAACCTATGAGTAATATCTAAGTCACGAATAAAATAAAACGTGTATTAATATATTGTGTTTATTTTATGTACCCATGATTTTTTTAAACTTACCTACCTACATCTAAAATTATCATTAAATACATAAATTACAAATAATTTTCTAATAAGTGAGACATTTATAGTAAAACAAATTACAAAAATCAACAAGTTAATCAATTAGGTATTGGTTTAAAATCATTCACTTTTGTTGAGTTCAAATATGTCTTAAACGAATATAATATTCAAGTGAAGTATAAAAATGTATTTAAATTTAAACATAAATTACTTAAAGCACGTGCTGAATTTGTTCTATAATAGAATTTGTCAAATTAATATGTTTAACATCTACCTATTGACATTATTTTTACATTTTATCTATTTTTAGATGTTGTTAATTTACATAAATACATAAATTAGGTAATCAAATCAGCATTAGGTTGAAATAATGTATGAATATAAAAACAAGTTTTTTTTTTATTATTGCATCATTATTATTAACATAAAACAAAATGGTAATTATTTTTATTTTTTTTTAAGTACGACAATTGTTGTGCGTCGCTAATTTACGATTACTTCCTTTTGAAATTTACTTGTCTTATAGTTATTTTATTTTACGCATAACTTATAATAGTTACGAGATTGATTAAACAATGGGTATATATTTCTTTCAAGTGTTTTGTTTTTATTGATTTAATGTTTTAAAACTTTCAACCAGAAACAAAATTGTAAGTACCTATATACAATATACATCTACCAACGTAATACATTCATCAACGCAAAACGCAATACTATGGCAGAACCGGGCTGCCGTTAAATCCAGACGCTTTGTATTATCGTGTAAACACGGTGAAACGGAATGATTCGAAACAAATCCCAGTATTATTAAAAACAATGAACAACTGATTTGACTTTCCAAACGTGTTAATGATTTTCTTTAACGAAAACTAACCAAAATCCTTCTATTCATACCGAGAAACTAATCGATTGTTATAAGAATAATATTTTTTTTCAGACGCAGGTACGCATTGAGAACAGCTGTTGTATTATTAAATCGTACGATTTTCCTATTAAATGATACATTATACCGTATTTTCATAAGCGAATAGCAATTGAATACGTCAAATAAATTGATTGACTGGTCCAGTTATCCGCCGAAAGTGCTTTACTATTACATGTATTTCCGAGAAAAAGGGTTTTGCACATACAGTAGTAATAACTTTTGACAATTTATAAAATACTTGAACTGGCTGCATATATGTGCTTTTGGATTTCAATAGTTCACAGCCATATTGATCGTTTAAGAACGAACGCGGGATTTAAAGTTAAAAGTAGTAAGTACTTGATCAGATTTTAAGGTATGTCGCTTCTTGTTATATTGATTAACAGTACATTGTTCACTACAATAATTAATGATGTATTACATTACTATACAGTACTTTATTAAAAATGATAACTTATATTTTCCAATGCTATTTAAGTTAACAGAACTCAGAGTATTTTCAAATAATAGTCCATGTATTTTAATATAATATTTTCCATTATAATAATATGTATGAAATGCTTCATTATTACTTTGCAAACATAAAACTTCAATATTTTTGAAAATGTATGTAAACGTATTAGATTTTGATTAAAAAGTCGTCTGCATTCGTTATCGTTAATATACGTGTACAACATTTTTAAATCCGATTTTTAAAACTTAAAACATTCATTTTATGATAACCCATTTGTGGGCCGTATTTTCTTGAACATTAAAAAAGCTTAACTATCAATTTTCATTAATTATTTTTATAGAGTTATGAATTTTAAATTTTATAACAATTCTTCATTTCTTAAAATTGTCATGAATAGACATTATGATACACAGATACTATGTTTCCACTTTCCAATAATACCCAGGTAATAAGGCGTACCAAGCCTACAATATGTCATTCACCTTTTTATATTTTAACGGTCTCTATTAGTCTAGTACAATTCTTTGGCTTAAAATTGTAGAGGTAGTATGATAATTAACACATACATACATAATTTATTCTGCTCTTATTGCGTTTATTACATTTGTTTTGTAAATGTTTATAACAAACATAAAATACATTTGTGCCTATCTGAATGTTATAAGATTTTCAAACTTTTATCATAATATGCATTGTGATGAAAAACGTACAGCGTAACGTAATACTACAATGAACTACCTATTCAAGAAATATTATAATAGTATACATCATCAATTGTAATTTATTGTGTTACATTTGTTTTGTAAATCGCAATGTTCGTACTAAAATTATAATATTGAAAAAAAAATACAAATAGATAAACACTATAATAGTGCCGAATGTTTTTATAGTTTGTATAAGAATATAATATTATTTTATATTTAATACCTATATATTTATAGTTTCAATGTTTTATGGTTCAAGATAAAAATATGTATAAACTACATAGCACGAGAAAAATTAAATACTTGGTATATAGATGTCACATTTGCGTACAAAACTTGTACATTCAACGTTTATAGTTGACCTGATTTTAAATTACAACTTTACTTTTTATCCTAAAAAGTTACAAAACATAATATAGTCTTATTAAAAATTATAGTGATATTAATGGTCAATACTTATCAAATGGTTTTACTTTTGTTGTTTTAGAACAAAATGTAAGGAAATTATTGTCAATATAAACTCAGAGATGGTAACGACGATGATAAAATAGAATCTACGAGTAGTATAACGTCAATAGAAGTTAGGGGAGTGTCTAATATTTAATATCTTGTATTTTCGTTATGTTTTTGACATAATCTTCCTGGTAGAAGAGAAGCTGAAATTAGCTTATTATTTTAAAGATTGACGACTCCCATGAAACCAATTTCCTTTGGATTCCTCCTATTCTCTTTTCCGAGGAAATTACATTTCATCAATACTCTATTCGGAGAAGAAATCATTTACTATTGGGTGAACTTTTATATAAAAACAATCCCAATTTTTAGAAATTTTATTTCAGTTATATTATTCGATTTGCTACCAGAATATAAAATGTCCCTCACTATTGCATCACTTCAGTGTGTAATAACGAGGTCCTACGCTAATAAAAAGCTGACAAAGGCTCTTGAAAAATAGGAGGAACGAAGACAAAATTTAATTAAACGTACCGTTTTAATAATGTAACCCAATACTTTAAACATATTTCCTTCATTAGTTGGTTTGAATAACTGCTTGTAGGGGGTGACGCGTAGGTATAATTAATATTTTACGACTTTTAATACGCGGTAACCTGTTCTCTGTGCGTCGTGTAGCTTATGAATAATATATGCCTGCAGTTTCTACTACGAGTGCGGAGTAATGTGTGAGTTGCATATATATGATAAATATGTTGCAGACCGCTACAAAATATATATTATCACTAAGTTTATAATATTGTATAGTTTTACATAAACGTGTAAGATGTTAGTTTTTAGAATAAAATATGTTCTAACAATTTAAGGCCAGTAATAATAAGTAGGTTCAGTATTTTGCTTTTTTGATTTATTTCAGATTAGTTAAATTTTGGATTCCAAGCGACCGAAGCAAAAAATGTATTGTTTTGTTCTGTCAACACTTTTCGGACAAATAGTTGCTCTGACTTGTTCAAAAAGTTTTATTTAGTATGTTTATTAACGGAAATAAGGGCATAATATATGGTAATCTAATGGGGTCAATTTTGAATTTTTCTAAAATGTCCAGTAATATTTCTCCAAAAGTTTATCAATTATTTTTAATTAAATTATAGAATTCTTAACACATTAGGTATTTTGAGGTTTCAAATCGAGATGAATTTCCAGCAATACGCTACCTATCTGAATCGTTTCCTTTTATCGTTAAAGTTAAAAAAATATATTATGTGATAATCTTTACAATCTAGTCTTCGACTTTTTTCGAAACACAAAATAATTTATTCAATGAATACACAAGTTCATGTAATAATAATTAAGTATGTTATAGTGATTTACATGTATAATAGTTGTAGTAAATGGTATGATTACACCTTACATAAATACATATTTTAAGTTCTAATGCCTGCATAAACAAAAACAATATAATCTTTTAATATAAATACAAATATATACTATATCGTCTGGAAATAAAAGCTGTTTTTTATTTTCAGAACTACAACCAAATAACATATATATTATACATTTCGTTCAAAACCGTTATGCTGTAAATTTTACTGATTGTTTTGCAGTTTTCGGTTGCTTTTCGCAATTTCACAAAAACTACTTAGAAATTCCACAAATGACCTGTTTAAAGTACCATCTGTGTCCAAATACCAATCCATAGACAGACTAAATAAAACTTTATGACTTTGGAATACTCTTTGTATTCATATCAGTATTTACAGAAATACAAAACAAAAACAATAATAGGTAATAATAATGTTATTGCTCTGCTACAAATATAAAATGCTTATCATCAAATTATTATTAAGTTTTCCTTTAAGTTATCTGTTAGACCTAAATAAAATAATTCTTTTATTGATGATTTTAATAGTTATTAAGAAAAAAACAAATAATTATAAATTTATAAATAATACCACTTTTTTTTTACTAACATGAAGTTGTATGATTGTTTTTTATATGTTTATGATTTTTATATGAATGTAGGTAATTTAATTGATTTGTTTTATTTTTTTATTTGATTATATAATAAGATTTTTTAAACATATGAATGAATAATTTTTAGCGATATTTTAAAATTAAATAAATTCTGTATGTTTTATAAATAAAACAATTTGACAAATACGGTTCAATGCCTATAAATAAATATATCATGTAAAATATATGAATACATACTTATTTTGTATTAAATTTCAATAATGTGT